TCCGTGCCATCATGAGCAGACCTGGGTCTTTGACGTCTCCCGTGTCTCTCCGGTGCGGCAGTGTCTGGTGTCTCAGTTCTCTGACGTTACCCGTGTTCCCCCGGTGCGGCAGTGTCTGGTGCCTCAGTCCTCTGACGTCTCCCGTGTTCCCCCGGTGTGGCAGTGTCTGGTGCCTCAGTCCTCTGACGTCTCCCGTGTTCCCCCGGTGTGGCAGTATCTGGTGCCTCAGTCCTCTGACGTCTCCCGTGTCTCTCCCGTGCGGCAGTGTCTGGTGCCTCAGTCCTCTGACGTCTCCCGTGTTCCCCCGGTGTGGCAGTGTCTGGTGCCTCAGTCCTCTGACGTCTCCCGTGTTCCCCCGGTGTGGCAGTATCTGGTGCCTCAGTCCTCTGACGTCTCCCGTGTTCCCCCGGTGTGGCAGTGTCTGGTGCCTGAGTCCTCTGACGTCTCCCGTGTCTCTCACGTGCGGCAGTGTCTGGTGCCTCAGTCCTCTGACGTCTCCCGTGTTCCCCCGGTGTGGCAGTATCTGGTGCCTCAGTCCTCTGACGTCTCCCGTGTCTCTCCCGTGCGGCAGTGTCTGGTGCCTCAGTCCTCTGACGTCACCCGTGTTCCCCGGTGTGGCAGTATCTGGTGCCTCAGTCCTCTGACGTCTCCCGTGTTCCCCCGGTGTGGCAGTGTCTGGTGCCTCAGTCCTCTGACGTCTCCCGTGTTCCCCCGGTGTGGCAGTATCTGGTGCCTCAGTCCTCTGACGTCTCCCGTGTCTCTCCCGTGCGGCAGTGTCTGGTGCCTCAGTCCTCTGACGTCTCCGTGTTCCCCCGGTGTGGCAGTATCTGGTGCCTCAGTCCTCTGACGTCTCCCGTGTCTCCCCCGTGCGGCAGTGTCTGGTGCCTCAGTCCTCTGACGTCTCCCGTGTTCCCCCGGTGTGGCAGTGTCTGGTGCCTCAGTCCTCTGACGTCTCCCGTGTTCCCCCGGTGTGGCAGTATCTGGTGCCTCAGTCCTCTGACGTCTCCCGTGTTACACCGGTGTGGCAGTGTCTGGTGCCTCAGTCCTCTGACGTCTCCCGTGTATCTCACGTGCGGCAGTGTCTGGTGCCTCAGTCCTCTGACGTCTCCCGTGTTCCCCCGGTGTGGCAGTATCTGGTGCCTCAGTCCTCTGACGTCTCCCGTGTCTCTCCCGTGCGGCAGTGTCTGGTGCCTCAGTCCTCTGACGTCACCCGTGTTCCCCCGGTGTGGCAGTATCTGGTGCCTCAGTCCTCTGACGTCTCCCGTGTTCCCCCGGTGTGGCAGTGTCTGGTGCCTGAGTCCTCTGACGTCTCCCGTGTTCCCCCGGTGTGGCAGTATCTGGTGCCTCAGTCCTCTGACGTCTCCCGTGTTCCCCCGGTGTGGCAGTGTCTGGTGCCTCAGTCCTCTGACGTCTCCCGTGTTCCCCCGGTGTGGCAGTATCTGGTGCCTCAGTCCTCTGACGTCTCCCGTGTCTCTCCCGTGCGGCAGTGTCTGGTGCCTCAGTCCTCTGACGTCACCCGTGTTCCCCCGGTGTGGCAGTGTCTGGTGCCTCAGTCCTCTGACGTCTCCCGTGTTCCCCCGGTGTGGCAGTGTCTGGTGCCTCAGCCCTCTGACGTCTCCCGTGTTCCCCCGGTGTGGCAGTGTCTGGCGCCTGAGTCCTCTGACGTCTCCCGTGTCTCTCCCGTGCGGCGGTGTCTGGTACCTCAGTCCTCTGACGTCTCCCGTGTTCCCCCGGTGTGGCAGTGTCTGGTGCCTGAGTCCTCTGACATCTCCCGTGTCTCTCTCGTGCGGCAGGGGGAGCCGCGCCTGGCCCCGCACCAGGCTCCTCTGCTGGAGCGGCTGACCTCGATGGACGACGCCACCGTGGAGGACGAGCTGAACGAAGACCTTGGCTACCTCAGCCTCGGCCACCGCCGCCGCGACTGGTTGTACCGCGCCACGGACCGTGAGTGGCTCGTGTGATGGCGCCGCACGTCTTGAACTGTCGTGACAGCTCGTGAGTCGTGAGTCGTGAGTCGAGACGCCACAGAGTGTGAGCTGTTAGGCGGGGCCGCGTCCCGAATCGTGAGTTGTCGCCACAGATGGTGAGTTGTCGCCACCGGTCTTGACCTGTCGCCACCGATGGTGATTGTCGCCACGTATGGTGATATTCGCCACCGATGGTGATTGTCGCTGCCGATGATGATTGTCGCCGCCGATGGTGATTATCGCCACCGATGACGGTTGTCACCACCGACGGTGATTGTCGCCACCGATGGTGAGTTGCCGCCATAGATGGTGAGTTGTGGCCACATGTGGTGAGTTGCCACCACAGGTCGTGAGGTGTCGCTGTGGATCGTGGACCACGGTGCTGGGTCAGGGCTGTGTGATCGGGTAAACTAGCCGTGAGATGTCCAGCCTGCTTTATTCCCAGCAGAACACCTGTCAAGATTGGCACATTGCGATGTATTGCGAAAGGGGGCAGCAGGCCGCTCCGTAATGTCGGCACTTCGTGAAATTGAACCGTGCCGGATGGCGGCTGTTTGCGCGCGCCTCGAACGGCTCATTTCAAAACAGCTCGTATTTCAAGCGTCACACAGCCTGGTACGGCTGGTCTGTGGTGAGGTCATGAATGTGCGGGCAGCTGAGGGACTCAATGGGGGCTGACCAGCATCCCGCGCTGCCGGTACCAGTCAGGCGTCCGCTCAATGTCCTCTTCAAGTTGAGCCTTTCACTGACCGCCTGAACGGCCCAGCTAAAAGTAAGAACTTCTGAAGGATGGAATGGATGGTGCTCTTCAGTCTAATTAGTCTCATTTGCAACACGCAGCTCCTCGTGGCAGACAGAAGCTCTCAATCATGACCTTCCAAATTCCTAACATCGGCCAGGGCACCAGATGGTCGGCACCTTGGGGGCCAAGCGTCTTTTCCAGACGTCACTAGGCCGACTAATTATTCGACTCCTGCTCGTCGGGAACGATCAGGCTGGCATCACCAGGAGTGGTGGGACATTTTGTTGAGCATTGTTTGGGATTCGTCAACACCCGTTTTTCGCCATGCAAGAGTCCGTGCGATAACGAAAGCCCTATAGGTTTCTGCTCGCCACAGTGCGACCGCATGCTCACGTAACACTGTCACGTGACTGTGCGACAGGTGGATCCTCCTGCCTGAGCTGGTTCCGCGCGAAGACGCGCGGCCGGTACGAGGACTGGCTGTTCCTCACGCTGCTGGGGAGCCTGATGGGACTCTACTCCTTCGGCATTGACGTCGCCGTGCAAGCCGCCAACCGATGTGAGTCATGCATTCACCCCGCTGGAACACGCGGGGCAGTCTGATGGGACTGACAGCTCAGGTGACACTTCCACTTCGCCCTTCGCCCACGGGTGCTAAACCCGAGCACTGGCCCGTTCTGCTGGGTGCTGTGGCAAAGTAGCAGGGAAGCACACAGTGTTTTTTTTTCGTGTTAAGACTTTGAGGGACCCTGGCGGGGGCCCTCCGTGGGGGCTCTTTAGGAAGCGGGGGATGTGACTGCTGCTTTCTAGGGGGAGGAAAGGTGGTTTGGAAGCCTTTCCTCTCTTTTCTCGCGGCCTCCCGATGTTACGATTAGGTGTAATAAACATTCGTAATAAACATTTATCCGTAATCATTGCTACGCATGGGCCTTTAGGGCGCCCTCATTTCATATTTTTTGCTTTGTCCGTGGCCCCACTTTTGCTATGTCGGGGACTAAGGTCTGTCTACGCACCCTTGGTGTGCGCCTGCGCAATCTACCACTATTTGTTCTATGGGGAATAAATCGTAGTGTAAATCAACAGGTAGTTCGTCCTGCACCACCTGTCAAATTGAGTCTAGCATTAACAGGAGAGACCAACTTTGAATAAAGCTTAAAGTTCGACCACAAACGATAACGTTTTATCGCATTACCCTTACAGCGGTAAGATAAGGCTGCTTGCATGATTGTGCATTTGTCTAATGTCTTCTCCCAATCTTGTAATATTAGTGGACGTAATCTGGTGTTTATTTCAATGCCGGCTGTGATCGATATTGTAAAAAACCGACGCGTCAGTTCCTATTTCTGCATTTCTAACATTCATGTGGAAGACGTGTGCGATAACTGACTTAAGCCCGTGCGAAACGAAACAGATGTAACCGATTCAGCTATTTACGGCGTCACGTCGCGCAAGCACCGGGGTTTGGCCAGGAGCGCCCGCTCGCTACCGATCTACGGCAAACACCAGCCGCGTCTGTTAGGCCATGCGGTTTGTCACCGCCACAGGGAGCCAGCGGACAGTTATCACGGCCACAGGGAACCGACAGCCATCACGGCCACAGGGAACCGACAGTCATCACGGCCACAGGGAGCCGACAGCCATCACGGCCACAGGGAACCGACAGTCATCACGGTCACAGGGAGCCGACAGCCATCATGGCCACAGGGAGCCGACAACCATCACGGCCACAGGGAGCCGACAGCCATCACGGCCACAGGGAACCGACAGTCATCACGGCCACAGGGAGCCGACAGCCATCACGGCCACAGGGAGCCGACAGTCATCACGGCCACAGGAAGCCGACAGTCATCACGGCCACAGGGAGCTGACAGTCATCACGGCCACAGGGAGCCGACAGCCATCATGGCCACAGGGAGCCGACAGTCATCACGGCCACAGGAAGCCGACAGCCATCACGGCCACAGGAAGCCGACAGTCATCACGGCCACAGGGAGCCGACAGTCATCACGGCCACAGGGAGCCAACAGCCATCACGGCCACAGGGAGCCGACAGTCATCACGGCCACAGGGAGCCAACAGCCATCACGGCCACAGGGAGCCGAAAGCCATCACGGCCACAGGAAGCCGACAGTCATCACGGCCACAGGGAGCCAACAGCCATCACGGCCACAGGAAGCCGACAGTCATCACGGCCACAGGGAGCCAACAGCCATCATGGCCACAGGGAGCCGGCAGTCATCACGGCCACAGGGAGCCAACAGCCATCATGGCCACAGGGAGCCGGCAGTCATCACGGCCACAGGGAGCCAACAGCCATCACGGCCACAGGAAGCCGACAGTCATCACGGCCACAGGGAGCCAACAGCCATCACGGCCGCCGGGAGCCGGCAGTCATCACGGCCGCCGGGAGCTGAGTCATCACGGACACAGGGAGCCGACAGTCATCACGGCCGCTGGGAGCCGACAGTTACCTCGCCGCCCGGCAGCAGGCGATCGCGCGGTGGGGCAGCCGCCCGGCAGTATCGCACGTGGTTCCCCACCGCGGCGGGACGTGACGTCACAGGCCGCGAGACGGCCGGCACCGACCGACCGGACGCGGCCGGAGACGAGATTGCGGGCACTGAGGGTTGGTCCGCCAGGATCGGGCAGTCTTTCTGCGTGGTGGCTGTGACGGGAGAGGGGGGGGGGGGGAGTTGTAGAGGCCGCTCTCCGGCTTTACAAGCTGATGGGTTAATGCCGCTAGAGCGTTAAGCCCTTTGCTAATTATTATATTAATATGGCTACTTGTGCTAATAAGCCAAACGGAATTACCACTGAGCTTGTGCATGCAAATCCGCCGGGACCTTATAACGGTGACAGAAGCGTCAGAAGGGGAGGG